TTTGACACTGAAGTATGGCTATTATTTCAAAACTGTTTTTGTGATTAGAAAAGGCCTATGACTAGACAGGCTGATACTGAGAAATTAATCATTCCAAATCTTACAAATGTTTCTAACTGCATATCAGCAGGTGACAATGTTGGTGTCAAAATAGAGATTTTAACCTCATATGAAATAAATCATAAGTAGGGTGAACTAAATTATGAAAACAAAACTTTTTATGCACCAGACTTCCAAGTTATCTGTGTCATGGAAGTGCAATTCTCCCTAAATTTTTTGATTATCTTTTCTTTTGCCCCAGTTCTTCCAACATAGCTTCCCAGCAGTGTCATGCATTTCCCTCTAAACATCATGTTTCAATTATGTGACTAACACTGACAAATTTGTGTTGAACAAGTCTCCTCGCCACTTGACCAGCTTGTCACCACTTCCCCTAAATACAGGGTGGTTCTGAGTGAGCTTTCAGAGACACTCCTCATTGGTGTCTGGGTGTCACCTCACAATCCAGCCAAATACGCTTAGAGAGTCCTGTAAACTCTTTGGGCTTAATGAGAATGATTTCATTTTTCATCAGTCACAATCTAATTGTTGAAACTCTTGGTCATCTTAAGGAAAAACTGACAGAATGTACTAAAAATGTTTGTACAATGTAGCTTGATTGTATGACAACAGACAGTAAATCACAGAGAGAACAGATTTCTTAGTGGAAGAACCATGACTAAAAAAGGTCTCTATTGACTCCAAGAATGAACGAGTGGTTACCAAAGGGGCGGGGTGTGGGAGGGCGGGTGGGGAGGGAGGGAGAAGGGGACTGAGGGGTATTATGTTTAGTACACATGGTGTGGGGGATCACGGCGAGAACAGTGTAGCACAGAGAAGGGACATAGTGGATCTGTGGCATCTTGCTGCACGATGGACAGTGATTGCATTGGGGTATGGGTAGGGACTTGATAATATGGGTAACTGTAGTAACCACATTGTTTTCTCATGTGAAACCTTCATAAAAGTGTATATCAATCATACCTTAATAAAAATGAATAAGTAAATAAACAAACAAAAAAACAAAGAAAAAGGTCTCTCTATTCATACTCTTATTCCCATCTGCCAATTACTTGAAAAAACCTGAAGTATTTTTGAACCAGTTCTATGCCCAAAACTTTTTAATTGCTTGTGGATATAGTACTTTGTGCAGGGTTTTTTTTATTTTGTTTTGCTTTTTTACATTCTAAACACAGCAAAATGCTCTAAGAATTATTAGAGACTGAGGTTATATTTAATAAAACCATCCCTAAATTTTACTTCTCAATCTATAATTTTTATAGGGAATTTACATGTTTAGTCACTTTAAAGGGAATTATAGAAAGGGGGGGATAAAAAGCAAGAAATGATTAGGAGTTTAACAAATAACTGGAAAGATAAGACTAACACACACAACAATCTGTAATTAAGTGCCAGACTGTATAGTAGCCATTTATGAGGATGTAGAGAAATAAACAAGATAAAATATCGTTTCTGAGGAGGTATATTGGTAAAAATCCTTTTTTATTAAAGAAACTGAGGATATTTAATAAATTTTCTAGCTTGATTTTTCTTTTCCAAAATGCAGATATAAAATTTACAATCAGGGCTACTTTTTGTTTTTAATTTTTTTCATATAAAATTTTAAACATATACAAAAGCAGGAAAATGCATCTTCATGTTCATATCACCAAGCCATGCTATTAATAGTTTTATTTTCTTAGAATGCTCCCCAACAGAGGTATTCACAAGGCTCACTTGCTCACATTTTTCAGAATTTAATTCAAATCACCTCAGAGGCCTTCCATGACCTATCTATTTAAGGCTGCATCTCCAAGACTCCCTTTTCCTTTTCCCTTTGTTACTTCTCACCTAACATTTATCACCCTCTAACATAATACTTTTTACAAAATGTACAAAATTACTGTTCACAATCTAAACTACATGACGGCCAGAATTATCAAATGTTTTCTTCATTGGTATATCCTAGTACCTAAATAATGCCTGACACATAAAAGGGCTAATAGTCAATGAATAAATAAATTTGTATTGATATGGGGAGATGTCCATGATATATCAAGTTTTAAAAAATAGAAAAATTGCAACACAGTTTGGATAATATTATGCTATATATTGTAATATAGTATTACAGTATACTTTGGGTGCTATTATACTATGCACAAGTATTCTGCACTCCACATTTCCCAGCTTACCTGCAGTTGGACAGAGCTGTGGTTACTAGTTATGCTCAATAAATTGTAAGTGGGAGTGGAGTATGTCAGTTACAGGCTGAGGCAGTAAAAAGTCCATGTGTGATTTATAGTCTCTTTTCACTGCTATGGTGAAAAGGCCACATATTGTAGAGTGTGACCATAACATAGTGGAACCTCCACTAGCCTGTCTTCCTGAGTGACAGCATGGAGAAACCGCCCTGCCAGTCCATGAGGGACATGTACCATTAGCGAGAAATAAATTTCTGTTACGTTAAGTCACTAAGATTTGGGAGATTGTTCACTATTGTAACATAATCTAGCCGATCCTAATACATATATACAAAACCAGCATTTATTGTGCACTTACTATATGCTAGGAACTATGATGAACACTTTATATATTAGCTTATTAAACCTTCACCAAACCCTATAAGCTATTACTATTACACTGAGATGAAGAAACTGAGGCAGTATGAGGACAAATAACTTGTCCGAGGCTGTTAGCTAAATGGAAAAGCTGGAAATGGAACCCAGTACTCTGGAGTAAGATGTACCAAGCGATTAACAGTAATTATCCTTGAGGGCAGGATTATGGGGACAGACCACTCTTTGTTCTGTTTCTGTAATGCTGCAAATTTTCAAATAATCATTCATTACTTTTGCAGTAAGCGAAAAACAAATAAATAGGTAACTATATGTTAGATATTTGAACTACTAAATTCAGAGATGGAAGTCAAATGACCACTGGAGCTTGATGTAATCAAGGAATATCTAAAAATGATTCCCTACCATCCACAGTCATGCCTTTTTTATAGGCTACCTCCAGCAAATAAGGTGAATCATATATTTCACTATAAAATTGGATTTGTTTCCCAAGGGAAAAAACACCCCTGTGTATTTTAACTTTTGGCAAGGAAGGGGCTAATAAGATGGCTATGCCTCCTGCAGGTGAATGTTGTACTCCGGGAATAAAGCAATTCCTTTTAGCTAAAAATGGCTTTATTAAATGTATATTTTAAATCTTCTATTCAGCCATATGTAAACAAAATATATATGGTATAATCTATAATAATCAAGTATACATGTAGTTTTTTCTGGCTGCCCAGGATCTAAATCCCCATTTTGGGAACGCAACAATGTGTAACTCTTTGACAGGAGGAAGCTGCAAGACCAAAATGCTGGTTATCCCAAACTCTGGCAGCTCGTTGTGTTCTGGCCTGCCTAGTCTCTTTTGGTCTATATTATTTTCCCGGCCAGGATCTCCAGTCTTGCCATCGATTCTGTAAACTAACAATCCTTCCAGAGTTGATGTCTTTTACTTGGAAGCAAGAACCTGACCACCAAGCAGCAGCTGTTGGCAGCTATAGCTATATACCGTGAAGGCACAGTATCTGGGAGAAAATGAGCCACCTCTGAAGACCGAACAATGAGATCTAAACCTATGATATGACAATAAAGATCATAAATGTTCTTGCCTAGGTTTGAGATATTTTCCACACCACCACATTTCTCACAGGTTTGACCTTTTGCTTCCTTTCTCGGACTTCCTGTAATATCCGAGTATTCCTTAACACCACACATAAACCTCCCTGTGCTTATCTCCCATCATCTTTCATTTATAACATGACACTCTCAAAAAGGTATCATTATGTAACACAATCTACTCAACAGTAAACATGTCTTAAATTTGTGCTTTGATATTACAGCAAACAAATCATTAAACTATTAGGTTAAGTTCAAAAGTCTATAAAAACAAACAAACAGCCTCACCTATTAGAAAATGGAAATTACCTGAGTCTCATTTGCCTTATGGCAATAATAATGCCCACCTTATTTCACAGAATTCATGTGATGATCAAATGAGATAACATTTCATTTCATTATGAACATGTTTAGAGAATTACTATTTAAGGTATATACTATGTTTCATCAAATCTTCAGATACATTCATTGTAAGATGCACCACTATATCACTAAGAAAGAAATGACATGGTCTATGAAAAACTATAACACATACTTTATCATTTATTTAATAGTAGTAAAAGAACCCTTTATACTTAATTACACTTGGATTGTTTTATCTAATTCTTGTATAAACATTATGAAAATGTGAAGGAAATAAATTCATTGAAGGTATTAATGAGTCCAATATTCTTGAATTATTCCTCAAGTCAATCACTGATATCTATGTTTTATGGATGGTACCCCACAAAATATCATACCTATGCCATCAAAAGTGCTGGTGATGCAGTATTTCTTATAAGAATCTATAACATGCTTTTCTGGTTCAACTTGGCAACACAGGAGGATCCTAAACCCACCTTCTCTCACAGATACACTGAATCTACAGCTACATATGGAATAATACCCTCTGAAAGAAATCCAGAAACTAGCTCTTACATGTCAGACAAATGAGAAAACACCCACAGACACACGTAGAAGAGGCTATGACACAATCTCTCTATAAACTTCACCCCCAGTGTGTTGACAGACAACTGGAAGGGAACTGATAACTCACAGCTTCTCTCTGATAAGTGAAGGGTTTGGATTCCATATGGTGCCACAACTTTTAAGACTTCCATCTGAGAAATAGACCCCCAAAACATCTGTCAACAAGGATTGCATCCATGACCCACAAGGCTACAGTGAACTAACAGACAGTTCTTAAAGGGCTTCTGTGGACCCATCACAGCTAATCCCCCAGGACCCAGGACAGACACAGCAAATGAAATGTACCTAGTCTTTCCAAAGAAGAGGCTATTTGCTTACCTTCAAAGCTTTGGGCTGATGGGTAGGCTTCTAATTTAAAACATATCTGGGTGCTGACATAATACTCTTCAGATACCAGAGGGGCCGGTGGGTACATCTTTCAGCTCTCTCTCTGCCTCAACTCCAGATCAGCAGTATCCCAGAAAGGAGCTTGTGTACATGTCTGGTGTCCCAGTTTTTGTGGCTGCACCTCAGAGGACACTCCTTGATTACCTGGCTCTGGTGGCTTGCATTTGTAGGTACAACAGGACTGTAACAAATAGAGAAACAGTTCTTAACAGGCTATCCCACCAGGACACAGCACAGAGGCAGCAGACCAAAATGCCCAACTTCCATGAAAGAGTCATATTAGCATATCTTAATAGCTGTGGCCTGAGGGGCAGGGTTCTATTTTAACACACATCTAGAGGCTAATTGCAATCTTCTCCAGAGACCAGGGGGCCAGCAGGTCCCATCTTCATGTGTTCACTGTGCCCTGCTCCAGATTGCCAGTGTCTCTGAGAAAGGAACTTATGAAAACATCTCGCATTCTGGCTCTTGTGGTTGTGGCCCAAAGGACATGTCTTCTGATAGTGAGGCACTGGTGGTCAACAAAGCTGTATTCATGGGTTCAACTGGATGGTAGCAAGTGAAGAAACAGTCCTTAATTGGCTATCTCCCCAGGGCTCAGAACAGAGGGAGCAGACAAAACACAGAATCTCCCAGTCTTCCCTTAAAAGAGGTATAATTACATACTTTAAAAGATGCTGTCTGGGGTCTGGCTTCCAATCACTTCGTATCTACATGCTGGCTGAGATCCTCCCCTCTGGGACACTGACAAATATTGGCACACCCTCAATACTAGGAGCCACTAAGAATACAGAAGACTGCTTGGAAAACCATAAAGATTTGAGAGAAAACTATGAGCTGGGACAGGGTTGAATGATAAAGCTCATCTTCTAAATAAGACCACTCCTTCAAGACTGAAAAGGGTACCTATTTTTATGTAATGCATAGAAACCAATACGGAGAGTTGAGGAAAAATAATAGAGAAATTTGTTTCAAACAAAAGAAGAAGATAAAACCTCAGAAAAAGACCTTACTAAAACAGAGATAAGTGACTTACCTGACAAAGAGTACAAAATAATGGTCTTAAAGATCTCACTCAAGTCAGGAAAACAATGCATGAATGAAGTGAGAATTTCAACAAAAAAATAGAAAACAAAAGAAAGTACCAAACAGAAATCACAGAGCTCAAGAATTCAATAACTGAACTGAAAAAAAATCAGTAGAAGGGTTCAACAGCAGGCTAAATGATATAGAAGAAAGGATCCATGAACTACAAGTCAGGGCAGTGGAACAGTAAATAAAATGGCAAAAAGCCCATACTTATAATAAAGACATTTAAAAATAATTAAATGAAAATGTACTGAATTCTCAAATCAGAAGACAGAATAACTGAATGGATTGAAAAAAAAAAAAAAACAAGACCCATCTATATGCTGCTTACAGAAGGTTCACTTCAACTTTAAGGACACACACACACAGACTAAAAGTGAAGGGAGGGAAAAAGATATTCCATGCAAATGGAAATCAAAAGAAAGCTTGAGTAGCTCTACTTCTATCATACAAAATAGACTATAAGAAAGCCTGTGATAAGAAACAGAGGTCATTATATAATGACAAAGGAGTCAATCCAATAAGAGTATGTAATATTTGTAAACTTACATGCACCTAACATAGGTGTACCTAAATATATAAAACAAGTATTTACAGACCTAAAGAGAGAAATAGGCAGCAATACAATAATAATAGGTGAGTTTAATACCTCACTTTTATCAATGGATAAGTCACTCCACACATAAAATCAGTAAGAAAACATTGGACTTAAAATGTTAGACTAGGTGCACTTCACATTTACAGAACACTCCATCCAAAAGCAGCAGAATACACATTTGCTCAAGTACACATGGAACATTCTCCAGGAGGGATCATATGTTAGGCCACAAAGTAAGTCTTAATAGGAAGATTGAAATCACATCAAGCATTTTTTTCCAACCAAAATGGTAGGAAACTATTAAGCAGTTACAAGAAAACTGGAAAAATTCACAAATAAATGGAGATTAAGCAACATGCTACTGAGCAACCAATGGGTCAAAGAAGAAATAGAAAGAGAACTCAAATAATATCTTGAGCCAAATGAAAATATAGATACAACATGTATGGGATGCAGCAAAAGCAGTTTTCAGAGGAAGTTCATGGCATAAATACCTATATTAAGAAATAGGGAAGATTTGAAATAAACAACCTAACTTTACACCTTAAGGAGCTATAAAAGAAGAACAAACTAAGCCCAATGTTAGTAGAAGGAAGAAAATAACAACCATGTGTGGAAAGAAGTAAAGTAGACACTAAAAAGAAAATAGAAAAGATCAATGAAACTAATAGATGATTTGTGAAAAGAAAAACAAAATAGAAAACATTTAGCTAGACTCACCAAGAAAATGAGAGGACTCAAAATCAGAAATGAAAGAGATACCACAGACATACAAAGGATCAAGAGATTACTATGAACAATTATATGTTAACAAATTGGACAACTTAGAAGAAATGGATAAATTGCTAGAAACAATCTACCAAGATTAAATAATGAAGAAATATAAAATCCTGATAGACCAATTGTAATTAGGAGGTTGAATCAGTACTAAGAAATCTCCTAACAAAAATCCAAATAGCTTCATTGGAGAATTCTACCAAATATTGAAAGAAGAATTAATACCAAGTTCTTCTTTAACTCTTTCAAAAAATAAAAAGGAGGTAACACTTCCAAACTCATTTTATAAGGCCAGCATTACTCTGATACCAAACCAGACTAGGGCACTAAAATAAGAGAAAATTTCAAGCCAATATCCCTGATGAACACAGATGTAAAAATCCCCCACAATTACTAGGAAACCAAATTCAACAATACACTAAAAGGATCATAAACCATGATCAAGTGGGGTTTATTCCAAGGATGCAGAGTATGGTTCATTGTCCACAAATCAATTAACATGAAACCCAACATTAACAAAATTAAGGATAAAAGTCATATGATCATCTCAACAGATATTTAAAAAAGCATTTAATAAAATTCAACATCCACTCATGATAAAAACTCTCAGCAAAGTGGTATAGAGAGAATGCACTCAACATAATAAGGTCATACATAACAAGTCCATGGCTAACATCTTAATAGACAGTGAAAAACTGAAAGCTTTTCCCTTAAAATCAAGAACAAGACAAGGATGCTCACTCTTACCCCTTTTATTGAACATAGTACCAGGAGTCCTAACAAGGGCAATTAAACAAGAAAAGTAATAATGGGAATCCAAATTGGAAAAGAAGAAGTAAAACCATCTCTATTTGCAGATGACATGATATTATATATAAAAACCTTAAAGACTTCATTAAAAAAGTGTTAGAACTAATAAATTCAGTAAAGTTGCAGGATACAAAATCAAAATACAAAAATCAGTTGTATTTCTGTACACTAATAATGAACTATCAGAAAGAGAAATAAGAAAACTGATTTTATACACTCACCTCAAAAGAATGCAATACTAAGGAATATATTTAACCAAGGAGGCAAAAGACCTATACAGTAAAAACTATAAGACATTGATGAAATAAATTGAAGAATCTACAAATGAAAAGATATTCCATGCCTCTGAATCGGAAGAATATTGTTAATTTATCCATACTACCCAAAGCAACCTGCAGAGCCAATGCAATCTTTATTAAAGTACTTTTTCATGGAAATAGAACAAACCATCCTAAAATTTGCATGGAACTGCAAAAGTCCCTGAATATTCAAAGCAATTTTGAGAAAGAACAAAGCTGTAGGCATCACATTTCATCACTTCAAACTATTTTGAGTTACAAAGTTATAGTTATCAAAAAGATGGTACTGGTATCAAAACGGTATGGTATTGGAATAAAAACAGATCAATGGAACAGAAGAGAGAACCAAGAAATAAACCCATGCATATCTGGTTAAGACAAAGGGGTCAAAAATATAGGAAAGAATAGTCTCTTCAATAACTGGTATAAGAAAAACTGGATAACCCCTATGTAAAAAAGTGAAACTGGACCACCATTTTACACCATACACAAAAAACAACTCAAAATGATTAGACTTGAATGTAAGACCTAAAGCCATTACCACTCATAGAAGAAAACATGGGAGGTGAGTGACTTGACATCAGTCTTGGCAATTATTTTTTGGATCTGACACCAAAAGCAAAAGGCAAAAAAAGCAAAAATAGAGAAGTGGGACTACATCAAAGTAAAAAGCTTCTGCACAGCAAAGAAAACCATCAACAAAATGAAAATGCAACTGATAAGGGAAAATTCTGAAATGTCTTAAATTAAGTGACATATCAGTCAGAGAATGAGGGAGAGAGACAAGGGAAGGTCATCAGTCAATAGCCACAGGCTACAGCTAACCAGAAATTTCACTTTCCTGGATGATGTCATTTCAATAATCACCTAGAAGGTCCCCAGAACCACCAAGTCCCCCTTGCCCATGACTAGTGTCTATCACCAACAGTCCACTTACAAGCCTTCTTTCTGGATTCACCACCTATCTCTGGGCTCACCCTGCTTCACATTAGCCCACCTTCCTTATCTATAGCCACTGGGCATTTAAGGAGCTTTCCTTCCTTGATACTCTTCATAAATGTCCTCCATTTCTTGAGCCTGGCACAGTCATTTCTGTTAACTGTCCTTGCTGCTGGTAAAGCAGAAACTTCCTGTTCCAGGACTTAGTCCTTTTACTGGCTAGCATCTGGAAAGGCTCAATAAACCCTTTTATTTCAAACATCTCTTGGTCTCAAGAGTTTTGATTTTTTACAACCTACTGAATGCAGGAAAATATTTGTAAATCATGTATATGATAACGTGTAAGCATCCAAAAAATATAAAGAACTCATACAACTCAATAGCAAAGACACAATCAAATTTCAAAATGGGCAGAGGAACTGAAGACATTTTTCCAACAAAGACATACTAATGGCCAACAGGTACTTGAAAAAGTGCTCAAAAATTACTAATTATCAAGGAAATGGAAATCAAAACCACAATGAGATATCACTTACTCCTGTTAGAAAAGCTATCACCAAAAAGAGGAAACAAGTGTTGGCAAGGATGTGGAGAAAAGGGAATCCTTGTGCACTATTGGTGAGAATACAAATTGGCACAGCCATGATGGAAAGCAGTATGAAGATTTCTCAAAAAATTAAAATTAGAACTACCATATGATCCAGCAAGCTCACTTCTGAGTATTTATCCAAAGGAAATGAAGTTACTATCTTGAAAAGATACATGCATCTGTCTTGCCTGAGGGTTTCAGCCCCAGGCAAGTTTACTATGGATTTGGTGAGACTGAAACATGACAACAGAACATTCTTGGGGTAAAGGGTCTTACACCAAGCTTTAGTCTTCTGGTGGTAGGTCAAGTGCTAGAATCCCGTATGCCTCTGGGCAGTCTGCATGCAGCAAGCCGACCTCTACCTCCAGGGCTCTCCACCACCTTGCAGCCCAGAGCACTGGGAGGAGCTCTTTATTATAGAGTCAGTAATAGCTCACTGTCAACACGTGTGCAAGCCTGTGCCTGAGAGCACTGCATGTGTGCAGTGGGCGAGCAGACCAGCGTCACGTGAGGCTCCTGGCTATGGAGCTTCCATTTTCCCTACAGCATCCCCATATTCATAACAGCATTATTTACAACCACCTAACTGTCCATCAATGGATGAGTACAGAAAGAAGTTTTGGTACACACACACACACACACACACACACACAGTGGAATATTATTCAGCCATAAATACAAAGGAAATCCTGCCATTTCTGACAACATGGATGGACCTTGAGGGCATTACGCTATGCGAAACAAGTCAAAGAAAGACAAATACTATATGATCTCACTTATATGTGTAATCTACAAAACAAAAAAACACCAAATTCATATTGAGAACAAATTGGTGGTTTCCAGAGATAGGGGTTGGAATGAAATGAGTGAAGGTAGTCAAAAGATACAAATTTCCAGTTACAAAATAAGTAAGTCCTAGGGCTGTAATGTCTAGTATGGTGACTACAGCTAATGATACTGTATTGTATATATGAAAGCTGCTCTACTGCTAACAATCTTAATAGTTCTTATTACCAGGAAAAAACAAATTTGTAACTATGTGTAGTGATGGATGTTAACTAAACTTACTGTGGTAAAAATCTCACAATATGTATGTGGCATTATGCTATACACATAAAATTAACAGAATTTAATCCACAAAACAAGTATGAATTACTAGAGGACACACCACTGATTCCATTAAACTAGAAGTTGAGATTGTCACCTGTCTACCTTGGGTTCCTCACTGTCAATAAACCAACAATCAAAGGAGGTCACCGTACCAGCCAGAATAACTGAATTGACTGTTAAGGAGAAATTAGGTTCCTAGGGCACAAAGAAGGTAAGCAGGACTATGTCTGAAATGCAGGAGAGCTTTTGGGATACCTTAGATCTCCTGCATTCCATGACAAATTTTATAATCAATTCCTTTATTTTTTGCTAAATTATAAAACTTGCAGGATTTTATTGCTCAGGAGAAAATGATCAAAAACACAAGGCCAGAAGTGTGATTAGAAAACAAGACTATATGTTTAAGAGTTGTGGTGTTTATTTTTGTCTCATTCTTTTGTATGTGTAAGGGTTAAAACATGGATGAATACAGAGGTGTCAGTGTTACGAGCCTCACTGATGTTTGAAGTTGTGAGAATGCCTGAATCAGCAAAAGTTAACTGAAATTTAAATCTTACAAATAAGCAGAAAATGTAATTTCTGGCAGACTATGGTTTACTCGAATAGTATTGTTTAAAGAGTAAAATACTTTGCAATTTCAGTGAATTTAAATTTATAGCATATGGCAAGGAAGGAGAGTTAGTAGCTATGACTGGTAAATTACTTAACATCTTTGAACCTGTTTCCTAATCTGTAAAATGGGGACACGTGTAGTGGAAATGGGACCTCAGAGAAAAGTCATTTTCCGTCTCCTAAACCACTTTCTCAACCTCCGCGGTACTGGCATTTGTGGCCTGTAATTCTGTGGTGGGCAGTGTCCTGTAAATCGTTTAGCAGCATACCTGGTCCCCACCCACCTCCAGCCTCTATCACCTCTCCTCCAGACATGAGGTTGAAAATGCTCCAGACACTGCTGATTCCCTGGGAGGCGAAGCCGCTACAGCTGAGCGGCAGTGTCCTAACCCCGTTTTTATCCAAAATGGATTTGAGGAAGAAAAAAACAAGTCTCAAAGGAGTAGAATGCCATGGCCCCACCTCAGGTGATTGAGAGGTGTCTGAGAAAAAGGGATGAGGAGTTTCGAGCTGCCAGGGAGTAGCCTTAGTCCTAACTAGTGGATTGAGTATTAGGAGAAGGGGCAACAAGGGGCAAGCGGAAGAGATCAAGAGGCCGAGGTTTAATCAAAAAGGCCCACACTAGTTAGCACTTACAGTGCTTAGCTGACTCCTAAGTAGAATTAACTCCAGATAAACCGAGACTTCCGCTATGCGGAAGGCACTAGGGAGCGAAGTCAGAATCCCGTCCCTGCAGCCGCGGAGTGGAGGCCCCGAGACGTCCTCGCCACCGCCCCACGCCCAGAGGCCTGACGCGAGCCCCACCCCCCGCCACGCCCGGCCACGCCCCTCCTGCCCCCGCCACGCCTCCCGCCCCCGGTCCCGGCATAGCCTCCTCCCGCCCCCTCAGCCCGCGCGCGCCCGGCCCCCTTCGCCAGGCTTGCGTAAGCGGGCCGGGCTGGGTTGGAGGCGCTGGCGCTGCCACGTCTTGGCCGCTGCTCGCGCAGCACCGGCTGCGGCAGCAACCGTGGCGCGGGAGGAGGTGGGACTGCTTGAAGCCGGATCCGGATCTCGTACTGTGTACTCAGGTGGGTGAGAGTCTGTCGGGCTGGAGGGGAGCGCCGACTGCGGGGCCGCTGCCGGTGAGGGGTTTGCGGGCCGGGCGGGTGCCCTGCGTTGGGCCTGCCTTCAGATGTATCAAACAGGTGTGCCTTCTGACCACGGGCGAGACGAGCTAGGCCGGGCGGGGGTTTCCGTTCTGGCAGTCGGACGTACATCTTCGCCAGCTGGGCGCGCACGGCCGGAGCTGCGGTGGGCACGGTGGCCCGTGGTGTGGCCGTTCAGGGGCGGTTCTGGCAGGGCGGGAGCAGGGACTGGGGACGAAACTCTTTGCTCTCCAAGCTTTGGCGTGGAGAGATCCAGACGGTCGCTTAGTCTGTCGCCATCGGTTTTGAATGAGCACAAACACCCCAGCGCCCCCTTTCACCTTTCCTTTCCGAGGCGCACCTCTGGGGTGTCGGGTGCCACTTGACAGGCATCTGCTCCAAAGATCATCTTCTAACACTGACTAAATCGGGGCTTTCACTGAGGGAAAGGGAGACATCCTTTGTCTCTTTTCCTGGGGCTTCTAACCCTAGAAACACTGAATACTGTGATTTCTATTATAGGAGCTGATGTTTATGTAAGCTGAACTCTTAAAATGTCATATAAACATTTTTAGATGATAGTTTTGGGGTTGATTATGAGATGACTTCTGTTAGGATGTCCACTCATGAACGAATCCTAGAATGGATCTCAAGAAACCATTTAGATCAGTTCTAAAGACAGGATTCGCTGACATCTTTTAGAGTAGAGCTAGCTACCCGTTTGGTAGGATGATGTAAAAGTTGGCGTCTATGGAGTATGGTATTGTAGAGCTGAAGATTGAAGGATTCTAGTTCTACTTCACTCATTTTTTTGTTACCTTAGGGTCAAGTCCTGAAAGCTCCACGCGCTCCAGTTTCATCGTCAGTAGCCTGGGAATAATGCCAGATTCTAAGGGATCAAACTATCACAAAATACTTTTAAAATTCCTCAAGTGAAGTGTAATTGCATAATTTAGTACTTTGGCCAGGCCTGTTAAAATCGTCAATGAATGCCGTGTTCTTTAGATTCAAATTTTAGTCAAATCACTACCGAAATTGTATATTATAGAGGTGTCAAGACATCAAAAATTCCCCCTACCCCTAATCACCTTGTTCATACATAATGTAGTGCTGGTCCAGGAGCTCTTGAGATATGTAAGGCAATTTAGATTTGGTCTTAGATTATGCTTTTTGATTTTAAAAAAATCAACTTTAAAGTCTTTATTTCCAGTGTCTATCACTTGTTGCTCCTCAATTGCTTGCTTCTAGCAGCAGCTGCTCCCCATTTGTATTCTAGTCTATTATGGAGGCTGGGAAACCAAATTGTGAAATTGTGTCCAAAGAATGGTCAATTGAGGGAAAACCTAATGTGATCTTAGTAAAAATGAATTTGGTATTTGTTTTTTGTGATATCACTTGTGACCTCCAGACAAGTCTTAGACCATTTGTTATTCATTCACTAGGCATTTATGAGCTGGGAGGTGTATATGGACCTTGTAAATGCATGCTAATTTAGCAGTAAAACAGGAATGGTTTTTGAGAAATATTTAAGGAGGGTTAGGGTTTACTTTTAAAAATTAATCTAAAATCCATAAAATAAGACCCCAGTCATAGTGATGACATTCAGCTTTAAGCAACTTAGAATTCAGCAATTCTTACTGAAATTTCTTAGTTTTACAGTACCTCGGGGCACCTTAAGATGTTAAAATGTTCTTTTATAAACCAAATAAATTTACTTTCTAAAATCTTTTGAAATTTGGTATCAAATCTTGTTTTGCTTTTACTTGTCCAGCATATTTTTTGGGCACCAGCAGACTTTTACTATATGGGGCTGAAGTAAGAGAAAAGGATGTAACCTTAAGTATGGCTCTGTTTTGTAAAATAGCTCATAAAAATACTTTAATATTAATTTTTGATTATCTGGTTCATGAATTCTTATCTCAACCCAGAATGCTTTAATATATTTTGACAGGGCTGAAATTTTTATTTTCCAAAAATAAGTTACAAGTTCTGCTTTTGAGTAAATTATTAGCTCTTGTAGAATAAAGTAGGAAATTCCTCTTCACTACTGCATATTCAGTACTGAGAGTACAAGTAACCTGTGCAAAAGGAAAATGCAGGGCTCTGTGTTAAAAATATTATCAATAATTTCAAGACAGTGGTGACAGAATTAAGCCAAGTGTGTGGGCCCCATGCAATTGCACAGGGCCAGTGTTTTGCCTGGTTTTGAATCCTGACTCTCTTCCTTATTGGCTGTTACCCTGAGCAAGTTCCTGTGCCCACTTCCTGGTCTGTAAAATGGGGATAATAATGATAGCTCTTTCGTTGTGTTTTTGAGAGTTAACAAATATAAAGCACTAAATAAATGTTAGCCAGTACCATTTATTTTTATGATCTTCATGGAATAGGACAATCTGGTTAAAGAAAAGCACAGGAAGATATTAGTATTTTGTTTAAAATTCACTAGGTAAAATAAAGGCTTCATAATCCTAATTCTCCTTTTTCTCTTGGACATTATTAGCCCTTTTCTGTGTATTTTCTAGGCTACATTTTATTGTAAACTCAGGAAAAAGGAATCAAGTTAACTTTACATTGTCTTAACGTTCATATGTTATGTTGAGATTTTTTTAAACTTCATGGTTACAACTATATACTAAATAGCATGAACATCAAAAAGTTTAAATAGTGTATTGCCTTGCTGAACTTAAATTTTTAATACGTTCTGGCCTCTGTATTTAATGTACACGTTTTACTTATTGACAGATATTTGGCCTGTTATCTGCATATCTGGAAAACAACATCGCTACCCATCTTTCAGAGAATAAACCCAAAAGCCTCAGGGGCTCCATGATCAGGGACTGACACCATTACAATGTATGTGCTAAAATTAACCTATTAAAAAATGTTTCAGACAGACTGTAAGGTTGTTAAGTTTTATATGAATGGTTGTTTTAATCATCATAATTGTCTTTCTTTCAATTCTTAGAACCAGGTATAGTGTTGAGAGCATAACATGATCTGAGTCTTTGAGGAAAAAAAAATTCTCAGTATTCTACATAATAAACGATGACGTTTTACATTTTTTCTTTCCCATCTAAGGATGCTTTTAGTTTAACGAACATGATAGATAACCTGTCGTTCTTTTTTGTAGCCCTTTCACCCAACATAGTGCCTGACTCATGAATTAAAGGTGAAAAAAATTACCAGAGTTTATAAACAAATTTTAAATTAATTGCTAACTAAAGTATATCTTGTTGAGCACTTGTAATGTGTACACACTGTTGGTTGCTTGTATACTGTAGTTCATTTCATCCTTCCAATAATTGCATCTCCATTTTACAAATTAGAAAGACTTGACATTTGAACACCATCTCTGACTCCAGAGTTCATGCTTTTTCCATGCTTATGTGTAAATTCTGGCTCCTGTAATTTTGTGACCTTGTGCAAGTTATTTATGTCTGCACCTGCATTTCCTCATCTGTTAAAATGGAAATAATAATTCCCATCTTGTAGGATTGAAGTAAACAAATTAGTAATGTGTAAAGTTCTTTAATAATCCCTGGCACATAAGTACAGCAGAAATGTTAACTTCTATTGTTATATCATCCTGCCTTCCCAAAGCTACTATACCCCAGCATTACTTACATAGTTACATTGGGCTATATGGAAGTTTAATTGACTTTTAAGGAAAAATAAGGTAAAATGAGTTGCCCTTAAGCAAGTGACTTATGAAATGGAACATCTGGGAGTTGGGTTTTTGGGAAAATTGTCGTATCATTAAATGGGCTTTAATTTTTCCTGCCTCGCTTCCTTGTTTTTATGGTAGTATGTGGTGGATCTGTATCTTTAAATTCTTTACATCAAAGAAGAGCCAGAAGCAGGTATCAAACAGAATAATTTCATAAACTGGGCATAGGGATAGAAGTGAAAGTTGGAGATTGCTATACAATCTCCTAACAATAATTGTTAGGAAGACCATTTCTTCCAACAACCCTTGTGTTCCACAGAAGTATTCTGCCTCCCCTGAGACTTTTATGTTTTATGTAATGTTTTTCATCACTTCTATCATTATACCTGTTATTTAATCTCAGTTTTATTAGACCACACCTAGTAAGAAACTGCCCATTTCTAAATGTTCAAAAAAGGAGACATACCATAATTGATTTTTCAGTAGCATGAAAAACCCTGGCTATTCTTAAGCTGCTTAGATGTAACTGAGAAACGAAAGATTTTTGGAAAACTGTGAAAACAAAATCCAACAGATAACTCAGTATGAATCTATCATATCTGAGACCAAATATTACAGTGATTGTAGAGGGTAATTTAAGCAAGTTCATCTTGTTCATGGTTCATATTTTTAAAAAAGTTACATGCACATTAAGTTCCCTTAGTGGCAAGTAAGCCAACATACCATTTCTTACCCAAATAATGTAAAAAAAAGAAGAGCCCATGAAAAATTAACTATTCACAGTGGTATGCTAGTAGCATTAGCCCATAGGAAAAGTTTTAAAAGACCTGCTCAAAAATGGAATTTTAAAGTTTAACTCCTCAATTTAGTCCTTTGTTTACTATCTGATAGTAATCATGAATTTTTTATATATCTTTAGTTTTGACATTTGGATGTTAGATTCAGGATAGGCTGAAATAAATCATCTTGCATAC